CAACCTTAATGATTCTATGATTCTATGGGAGGATCAGTGCAGACTTTGTAGCATAATATGGTCAATGTTGAGTGTTGCACCAACAAGACTGTAAAGGTTACACATTGAAAGAGAGAAGGAGGCTCAGACTTCATTTATGTATCTAAAAGACAAATGGGTTTGCCTATGGGAGTCATCTGTTAGTTGGACTAGATCATAACCATGTCTTGGCCTTCCCAGACATGGTTCTGCGAGATGACACCCTCTCTTACCTTTCTTGCCTCTTCCAGGTCTCCTCCTTGGCAGCAGAAGGGTAATTTTCCAGATACAGATGTTTGATGTGCTGAGTTGAAAACCAAATTTGATGGAAATTTGGAGTCTGCAGTTGAATTCTCCATGGCATTTAATGAAAGCAAATGGGCAAAATCCGCTTGAGCCTTGAGTCTGTTGGTACTGAGTGGTCAGGGTTTCCAGCCCTGCTATGAATTTACAGGGAAGAGCTTTCCCAAAAAACACCAGAATGATGGTTCTTTAAGTATTATAGAATAATTTGTCAAAAATGAAACATGAAAGTCATGTAGGGATTGAGAAATTTTACAAGATCAGCAATGTTTTGCAATGGGGTGAAATGAAGAGTCACATTAGAGCTGTGGAGGCTTGTTACACATGCCAAGTATATTCGCCAAGTCAGACAGAGATGTGGAGACCAAGAAATTATTCCCCAGGGACCATGGTTTTATCTTGGACAAAACCATATATTTTTCTTGGACTATTCTCACTTCCCCAGGATAACCTTACGGGAAGATAAAATTACAAAAAAGACAATCTAGTCTGTCAAATCCATTTCTTGAGACATGATACATGAAATAGTATTACTTAGCTATGAGATAAAGTTTAGTGGGTGCAAGTTCAAAGTCTGTACTGAAATACAGGTGTAAATCTGCGCAGGTGAATTCCCCTTCTCCCAAATCTAGCTGGAAAAGGATCACAGATAACATCTTTTAGAAAGTTGTGGAGCCGTATCTTTGCCTTTTTAAATGCAAGGAGAACTGTATAATTAAGAGCTCTTAAAGAGCTATCTGGGGCCAGTTGCACCGTGTAGCAATTCATGCTGCTGATTGCTGCTCTGTTAGGAATCAGGTCTGGTTTTATTTAGCAGCCGTTCACTTCCTGGGTGCTGTGGTTGCTGACTGACACAGGCTGGACTCCAGAGCTTTTAGATTTAACGTTTTGCAGAAGTGCAGAGGCGTGCTGTTTTATTCAAGGTATTCTGTTATGCACTTTTACAGAAGATGTATGGTGTGGACACTGGCAAGATTTAGTGATGAAAAAAGTAAATAAGCAAGATTATAATAATCTATAAGGCAAAGTAAGAGTAAATATGAAGATTCCAGTTTTTTATTTTGTATTTAGCTTTTACTTCTTTGTGTAGTCTTATGCAAAGAAAATACCCCAAGTTTGCAATATAGGATTGTAGGATTGATGTTGTAATTTTCCCAGTGGTTCACCATGTAGGTTGCCTTTGTTTGGTAATTTGCTCTATGTGGCAAGAATGTGAAGACAGGAAGGCTGTGTGAAGCCAATAAGCAGTGTAGAGATTTCACTTTGAAGTGCTCCAGCAGTGAATGCGTTAAATGTTTTCATCAGAGACTTTAAAAAAAAAAAAAGTAGTACGGTGGATATGCCAGAAAAAGTTTACTTTATAAAAGAGAGTGAAAAGCCTCTCACACGTAAGAGAGGAGGAAAGAAGGAGTACACCGTTTCCTTTTTAGCAGTTTTAATTTTAAAAAGAATGTAATTCTGAGTCACAGAGGGCAGAGCCCACTTCAGTGAGACCTCCCTCCTAAAACTGCCGGGATCCTCTACTTCCACCCTGAGCAAAGCAGGCGCCTTCGCAAAAGGAATAAAAGCCTTCCAGCTGCCTCTGGTGGTGTAGGAATAGGCATGTCTTCGGGGAAGATCTGTTGTCTGGTGCTGCTGACCCTAGGGGTGCTGGCGGTGGTTGTTGCGCTAATGGTCATCCTGACTCAACCCAAGTGCGGTCCTCAGCGTTACCTGCATGGTGCCGTGGCTGCTGACACCGAGACCTGCTCTGTCATCGGCCGGTATGTGCACGGACCTCTTGGTTTTTCAGCTTACATGTCGTGTATGTCATGGACTCGGACTGATAGACAGGTACACGTACTAACTACGGGAGTGAGCTGGGTTTCTGCCCCATCCTCGCTTCTGGAGCTGAGCAACAATGCTGCTCCCTGGGTGCTCTCCATCGGCAGTGGAGCAGCTCAGAGAGCAGATGGAGCCCTGCCTCTGTGGTTGATGCTTATTTTCATCATCCAATGTCATAAAAATTTGCAGCTCTGCAAATCATTGGCCTTTTGGAAGGTACAAATATTTAGAGTATACAAATGCAAAGTTGTTTTTAAGTGGGGAAGCAGGAAATTAAGTGCTTACTTCATGGCAGTAAGCTGTCAGATAACTGGCTTAGAAATAAATTAAGGAAGAAGCGAGAGGAGCTAGCAGAGAGCTGCAGCTGGGCTTCAGCAAAAGCAAGGCAGGCAGGCAGGCTGAGAGGGTAAGGGGGACTGGGCATCCCAGTCTGTAGGGTGTGTGTTTCTGGACTGAAGTCTGCAGCAGGTGTGTCTGCTATCAAGAAAGACACTCTGTATTGCAAAGCAAAGAGCAGATTTAATTGAAATTCAGCCAAGACAGTATAAGTACAAAAGACATACTTACATCACTAGGAAAGAAAGATGTAGGTTTAAAAAAATTCTCTAGCTGCCCAGGTTGTAACACTTCAGTTTGTGTAACAACTTCTCTTATGTTGTTTGACCCTTTTGTTATTATTTTACTCCTATTGTTACTTCAATTCTTAAATGCTTGTGTACATGAAAGTAGAAGGATGGAACTTCACCAGGCTACGTGTGATGCTGGATGCTCCAGAATGGGTGCTGGAGCTGTGTGCTCTACCTTGTGGCTGGAGGAGTGAGATAAGATGTGGTGCCATTACACCATGCTTGCTGTGTCGCACATATGGTTCTTGCAATGATGTGCTGACACAGCATTTGTGAGTAGTTGGAGAAAATGTACTGTGGCTGCACATATGTCAAGGAATGAGGTGTGGGGTTTTTTTTTACGCTAAACCACAGGTGAGTTCTTCAGAGGGTAGAAGAAGTATTACCCAAAAAATCTGCTGGGAAAACCACAGCACTTGTTTTGCAGCTATTGTAATTTTTAACTTGAAGTAGTGTAGAGTCAGCTGGAAGGCACTGAAGTGAGAGCCACAGAAATCTGCGATCAGGTTGATAACTGAGAAGCTTTGGCTACCTGGCTACTGCTGCTGGGCTGTCACCTATTTCCTTCCCTTCTCTCCACAAGAAGCTCCACCTGCTTCCATAGCCTCAATCATTACTGTAGCTGCGCCTCCAGTGCACTTGCTGACAAGGTCTCTGGTGTCCCTCCAGTCTGACGAACCACCTTAGATTTCCTACAAATAGTTTGCCAATGATGCCCACAAAATTCTGCCCTTGCTCCAACTTCCCATCACACATTCTCCCCCTTTTCCCCAGCCTGGGGCATCTGCACATCATGTCTTGCTGCTCCAAACGTATCAGCTCTCTTCTCCAGCCCTCGCAAGCCCCCTGGATCTCCCCAGCCAAGACTATTCTCCTCCTTCACCTTGGCTCTACACGACTGACCCTCTGTCTGGTGGTTAGCTCTACTCCCTTAGCTGCGTGCTGTCTGCTGCTTATCCTGGTATCCTTCACCTCCAGCCATTCTTGGAAACCTTTGTGCTCATTTCGTGCTGTCCTTATACTTCGAATGAACCAAACTCCTCTGTTGTTCTCCCAGCTTGAGCTATCTGCTCATGTTCTTGCAATAGATCATAATAAAACTCTTTATAAAAATGTTCATCTGCAACAGAGCTTGTGATCAGAAGCTTTGTATAACGTTTGCCTTTTTCTTTGTCATTGTCCTATTTCTCTCTTTGTCCCCACTGGCCCACAGTGGTACCTTGTAAGGAAGGAACATTCTTCCTTTGGGGGAAGCTTACTGCATGCCCTGTACTGCATGTGGTCTTGTTCATTTTCTCTTAGACATTTCTGTGCTGTTATATCTGTATGTCACATTTTAGCTCTTAGCTGTTAGCACATGATAGTCACCACTAAATTAATTCTCATAGCAGTCTGGGAAGTGAGAAAATGATGTTATCTCACTGTTATAAATAAGGAAGTCTAGCATGGCAATTATACTGTGTGGGTGCCACATCAGAGTCACTTCAACCAGGGTTTCCGCCTTTCAGAGCAATCTGCGCTGCTCGGGGTACGTCTCTTACTGACCTCCTCTGTGACTGTGCAGGGTGAGGGCTTCCTTGAGCCTGACCCAGAGGTCTTGATGGGAGCATCAGGAGCTGAGGAGCACACAGCGGCCTCCTGCCTAATCTTTGCTAAACAAGATTTTAGCACCACATGGGAATTTTGTCACGTCAGTAGCAATAAAATCCAATTTCTCAGCGTAGTCTTAGTCATTAGGCCCTGATGTCCCCACCTGTGAGTGGCCACTTCATTTGCCACTTAACTTCAGCAACAAAGTGAGAGTTAGGGAAAGCCAAGCATGCCTTGATGCACAACCCTAACTCCTTCCCAGACACTGCCCAGCCAGTCAACCGAGTGTTTTTGAGATTACAACAATGCTGTTGACTTCTGCTGTTCAAAAATAATTAAACTCCCAAAATCATGAGGCCTAGGAGAGAGGAAACAAGAAGAAATAATTAATATTGGGTTTTTCTTTTTCTTACTAAGGACTGTATTTAGGTCTTCACTCTTTTTCTGCAGTTATGCAAACATTTGCGAATTTTTACACTGGCTGTTTGGACTTGGAATGATGTAAAGAGTTGAGGACTTAGGCAAGCAATCATGAATGGTGAGATTCCCAATGGCACAAGAGCTGAGACCTGTACTGCTGCTCCTGAGTCCCTGATGGGTTCTTTGCTACCCATGCTGCGGCTTTCTCTCTTCTGCCTAATTGCTGCCTCACCCCCAGCTCTGTGGCTGCTCCTTCCCACATGTACCCATCTCCCTGTGCTGGTGTTCGAGCCTGTGCAGTCACTACTTCTGGTCTTTTCATCCTACCAACACAACACCCTCACCCCTGCTCCCAAATTGCTCAATCTTATGGGCTTTATTCTGCCCTGATCCTGCCTCCACAGCTCAGCCACCTCACTCCTCCTCCATCTCCTTTGTGTTTGAGGCAGGACATGGCCACTCTCCTTGCCCGTGGTCCAGCTTGGGGAGCACTGAGTACTAAGGATAATAATTTCCTTGTTTTTTCCATGCCCAAAGCCATGGCTGTTACCAGAAGCGTTTTTTCTGAGGAAGCTGTGCTTAGACTTTGCAGCTCAGGATTGGAGCAGGCTCATTTCCTCTAGCATCGCTTAGAAATCACAGGAGAATTAATCTACCAAAACTGGTTAATTCACTGATGACTACACACATACGCATTTTTGTATGTATAAAAATAAGTAAAAGAATTATATGATCACTATGATCAAAATTTTTAATGATCTGTTTTGTTTGGTCTTTTTCCCAAAGCAAACAACTTGGCCAAATTAGAGTGAATTGTTTGAACTGGAGGCAGACTACATCTCTGGCTTTGTACTTGCACACTGCAGAGCCTTCTAACAAATTTTCTAGAGGAGTTTAAAACATGTAGAATAAGGCAAAACAACAAATTTCCTCAGTCTAATTTTTTGGTAATTGCTGAATGCTTTTAGGGGAAACATACAAAAAGAAAAAGAGCAACCTCCACATGGGAAAAAAAATTAGGCTTGGTGGCTTGGGTATGGCAAAGCTACAATCAAATGAAAACCACATGTTGTAATTGAACCTGTCAACCTGCCTGCCCACCCCACTGGTGAGAGCAGGAGTCATTGCAACCAGTCCCTAAAGGCACACCACAGAGAGATTCAACAGTGCCTGTTTGTCCCTGCTCTCCCCCACTGACCCCGCAGACCCTCTCTCTGCTGGGACCCTGGGCTGCCCCGCTGCAGACAATCCTTTCATCCTGCAAATCCCCCCCAAGCTCCTGGGAACGCATGCAGGGGATGCTCGGCGAACCTCCAGTGCAGGATGGGCATGAAATCAATGGCACTGGTCCGGCACCTAAAGTCTTGGAAGCTAAAAGCAGCACCTAATCTCTGACCTACTTAAAAATTTTATTCTTTAATTAAAAAATCTTGTTTCCTTTAAAAAAACAGAAAAGAAACCCAAACCACATGCTCTGTGAGTTGTCATTAGCAGTAATGAAATTCCTGGGGCATTACATGATACTGTGTTAGTTTAAGATGCTGCTGTTACAGACAGAGTCTTTTGTGTGCTCCTAATAGAACTTTTAATTGAACTTATTGAGAATAACTGAACTGAACCTCTTGCCCGAAGAGCAATCTTGTCTTTTAACAACAGGGTTGGGGAAAACACCTCAGGGTCCTTGTGTTTCCCTCACTGATAGTTTAGCTGTGAAGGAAGGGTCAGTGAAGGAACTGTGTAGCTCTGCAATTCGTTAGTACAAGCAGGAGATGGGGGACAGACTCACAGCCCCTGTTTGCTGCTCTTTTTCTTCAGTTGTGCTCAGCTGTCATCTTTAGGCTTGGGTTTTCAAGCTCTGGAGATGGTGTTTGTATATTCTGGGGCTGTGTAAGGTTGGACTTTCTGAAATTTTTATGCAACTCTTTGGCTCCCTGAAGAAAGTGACCGATCTCAGCAAGCCTCCAGCATGTCATCATCCTTGTTGGCAGGTCCTGTGCTAGACTTGCTCTTAGCCATGAGTGTCCAGTTCTCAGTGGTGAACAAGGTTGGGTCTTTTGCTGTGAATGGTTTTACTGCTAGAGATTGAGGACTGAAAGCAATATTGTGCAGCTGTCTGGTCCAGACAGGAGCCATGTGCTGAAAGAAAACTTGTCCCTGAATGAAGTGAAACATTTTAATGAAGAGGCATGGGAGGCTAAAAGGAGAGTCAGAGCAGTTTTTAACCCAAGGATATGGATTTGGTACCAAAGTCTACCTCAGTAATTTGTTCTCATGTCAGGAAGCCATGAGGAGACAGGCGGTGA